GTCTTGCTCTCCCAGCTTGCACGCGGTTTGATTGGCTAGCGCTTGTACTGGCGGGAATTGCAAAAACGGGATTTGATTGGCTGACGCCAGCTTCGAGCAAGCATCGAGCCTCAAAAGTTGAACATTGTTCAACTTTTGACGCCGATAGACGCTCGCGATGCTTGCAACGCCTTGCCATGCTACCCACAATGCAGTTCGGCGAAGTTTGAAAATATCTTACGTCACTTCATTCAAATGAATGGGCGAAGCGTTGAAAGCATTTTTTGACGCCTGTAGTGTAGACGGGCCGTGAGTCTTCATCATGTCTTCATCATGAGTCTGAGTCTTCATCATGTCTTCACCATGAGCCTGAGTCTTCATCATGTCTTCACCATGAGCCTGAGTCTTCACCATGAGCCTGAGTCTTCATCATGAGCCTGAGTCTTCATCATGTCTTCACCATGAGCCTGAGTCTTCATCATGTCTTCACCATGAGCTTGAGTCTTCATCATGTCTTCATCATGAGTCTGAGTCTTCATCATGTCTTCACCATGAGCCTGAGTCTTCACCATGAGCCTGAGTCTTCATCATGAGCCTGAGTCTTCATCATGTCTTCACCATGAGCCTGAGTCTTCATCATGTCTTCACCATGAGCCTGAGTCTTCATCGTGTCTTCACCATGAGCCTGAGTCTTCACCATGAGCCTGAGTCTTCATCATGAGCCTGAGTCTTCATCATGAGCCTGAGTCTTCATCATGTCTTCATCATGAACCTGAGTCTTCATCATGTCTTCATCATGAGCCTGAGTCTACATCATGAGCCTGAGTCTTCATCATGAGCCTGAGTCTTCATCATGTCTTCATCATGAGCCTGAGTCTTCATCATGTCTTCATCATGAGCCTGAGTCTTCATCATGTCTTCATCATGAGCCTGAGTCTACACCATGAGCCTGAGTGTTCATCTTGAGTCTGAGTCTTCATCATGTCTTCACCATGAGCCTGAGTCTTCATCGTGTCTTCACCATGAGCCTGAGTCTTCATCGTGTCTTCACCATGAGCCTGAGTCTTCATCATGTCTTCACCATGAGCCTGAGTCTTCATGGTGTCTTCATCATGAGCCTGAGTCTTCATCATGTCTTCATCATGAGCCTGAGTCTTCACCATAAGCCTGAGTCTTCATCATGAGCCTGAGTCTTCACCATGAGCCTGAGTCTTCATCATCAGCCTGAGTCTTCATCATGTCTTCACCATGAGCCTTAGTCTTCATCATGTCTTCACCATGAGCCTGAGTCTTCATCATGTCTTCATCATGAGCCTGAGTCTTCATCATGTCTTCACCATGAGCCTGAGTCTTCATCATGTCTCCATCATGAGCCTGAGTCTTCATCATGTCTTCATCATGAGCCTGAGTCTTCATCATGTCTTCATCATGAGCCTGAGTCTACATCATGAGCCTGAGTCTTCATCATGAGCCTGAGTCTTCATCATGTCTTCATCATGAGCCTGAGTCTTCATCATGTCTTCATCATGAGCCTGAGTCTTCATCATGTCTTCATCATGAGTCTCTCAGCTACAGTTTTTGTCCAACAACTACAACTATATGCTAACTTGTCTCCTGGAAAATGACATTACCATATAACCAAACTGCATTCTCAATTCAAGGGAACCTCCCAAAAGGAAACCAAACAAAAATCCAAGAAAACTACAAAACACATGCTTACAGCAGGATTAGAAAAAATCAGAGTGCAGCTACCTTTCAACTCATGAGAGACATATACAAGCTAGCTCTGAGTAGTACTGCGTACCGGTACGCCGAACCGGTACTGGACTTGTAAAAAGTTTCGGTTCAAGTCCGGTTAAAACCGGAACGTCGGGAACCGGTACTTGGACTCGCAAAAAAACTAGCACTTACGTATATTCTGGTGTCTGTGGTTATTTAAACATTCCCTGATAAACGTTATTCAGCGTCAATAAATGAGTGCTAATTCCAGTGTGCTCAGTGTACAACATCACATGTCATTTCATCTTCGATTCACGGTTTGAAAACGTAGCATTTTGCCACATGCTAATGCTAACCGGAAGTGAATAATTTTCAGAATAAAAGTATTACGTTAATAGTGTGAACTTCCGGTTTTTTCAGAATAAAACTGATTTAAATTAAATAGTGTATTTAATTCAAAATTACGCCATATCAACATTGATTTTAATTTCTAACAGTATGTATGTACATCACTATGTATGTAGTATGTACTGTATAATGTACACATGTAGAGTTATAGAAAAGACAATATTTTCCGTCTATGACGGATTTTTTTTAACAATGACGGACAAATCTGAAAAGCAGTCGGTCATTTTGACAGATTAGAACAAACTCGGAACAGCGACAAAGTTTCCCCTCAGCGAGGCTGCTTATGGGTGTTATGCCGTGTTATGCATGCCCTCCAAAAAGGAAATTATACCGTTTCCAAACCTAACTGTGCCGTACAAATCATTGAAATGTCTGTGAGTTTTGGCTTTATGCTGTGCACGCTTCCGCAAGGTGCAGCAGCCATGCATAACACGGCGCATGTGAACTGTCCCTCCCCCCCCCATTGACAGTTCACGAGCATGCTCCCCCCCCCCCCCCCTCCCCTCGTCAGAGTTGTGTAAAGGCCGACGGATAATTCTGGATTTTGACGGAAGTTTTACGATCCTGTCCGTCAAAATGACGGGCAGCGAAAAAGTCTAGCGCAACCTCTGGTACAGACAGTACAGTACACTCTGACTGTACAGTCAGTCACTACAGTGTAGCCTATACTGTATAGTAGGTGTGTAACAGTGTAATGCGTATAGTCTACTCTACACTCTACCTTTCAGCAACGTTTTAGGGATTTAGGCTCAGTCAGCTCAGGGACTGTTTGGTTACTTTAGTTTGGTAAATGAAAGAAATGTTTGAACTTTGTAGTAGTTCACTGTAGTTGCTGTCATAAGTCATTTGTAGACTAAGTGGCAAAAAGTGTTTTTTTTACATTTGTACTTTGTAGAGAAATGTAGACACAAGTTGGAAGGGAGCACAATAAACCTGATGAGTTTGAATTTGAGTTGATTATGAGTTTATTTTCAATTGATAATTAGCTCACAATAACTTCACTTTAGTTACTCACACAACTTGACACAAGCCATGGGTGAACCTGAACCTCTGGACTTGAGTCCGGACCTGAACCTGAATGTGAGTCCAGGTACGCAGCACTAGCTCTGAGCAGAAACAGATCGTGTGATGTGAAGAGCCAATCAAATGTACCTGGTCAAATGTCTATTTCTATATATGTTTGATTCCACACAGCACTGCTTTAAATAGTTGCTTTTGGTTTTATAAAAAATACCAGAAAAATATATGTCAGCAAATCCAGCATGTGTATTCTAGTCTAGTATTCTC